ACTGGAGAAGACAATAATGCTAGGAAAAGTTGAAGGCAGCAGGGAAAGTGGGAGACCCAACCTGAGATGGATGGACTCCATCAAGGAAGCTACGGCCTTCAGTCTGCAAGACCCAAGCAAAGCTGTCAACAGTAGGATGTTTTGGAGGTCATTAATTCATAGGGTAGCCGTTAAGTCGGAAGTGAGTTGGCAGCACTTAATACACACACACACCCCAATCACAGGGCTGAGAACAGTTCTGGTTTTGGCATGATTATTATTTGCAGTCGGCTTACCTACATCCCACATGACCAAGGAAACGTCTTCGGACAGTGCTGGCTCTTTGGCTTGGAACCACGGAAACGTCTTCGGACAGCGCTGGCTCTTCGGCTTTGAAACAGAGATGAGCACCGCAACCCTAGAGTTGGACTCGACTGGCTTTCGAGCAAGGGAAACCTTTACCTTTACCTACATTCTACATGATCACGGAAACGTCTTCGGACAGCGCTGACTCTTTGGCTTGGAAACGGAGATGAGTACCGCCCCCTAGAGTCGGATTTGACTGGCTTTCGAGTGAGGGAAGCCTTTACCTTTTCACTTTACCTACATCATCAGACACACGTGGCAATCATCCCATGAAGAACATGCATGTGCGAAGTACGGCACGGTGCTCGGGCTTCCAGAAGCCCGCATTTGCCAGACTTTAGGAAGCCAGAAAGCAGCAGTGTAACTGATCAGATTAAATTAGACACCTCTGAAGCGGGTTTCGTAATGTGAGTCGCATGTCTGTAGTTCCTCCCTAGTTGTCATCACCTGTAGAAAGATTCATCCTTGCTGACGTGCGACCCCAGCCAAGCATCCCTTCGAATTTAACAATTCCTGCTCGGATAACACGCCAACGGGCACAAGCCCTAACCTCAGACCTCTCCAGTGGGAATTTCTGCCATTCAGGTGGTTAGGCCCAGGACAATAGATTAGTCGTCAGGAATCGCTGGGCGAAGGAGATTGGCGGAGGGGGGGCGCGCGAAAGGCTGAAGCGGAAAATCCGTCTCCATTACTCATTTCTCAGCGGAGGCTCCGAGGGGAAACTGTCACGTCGAGAAACCAGACCGTGTCGGCTTTGATCAAAACATTGGCTGGTGAAAGGGCCGCGCGGGATTGAACCGGGGATGTCGCTTGACTGCTACGTGGCCGGGCAGATGAATTCGCTTCTGCATAATCTGTTTGGAATGAGCTATTTATAGCAAACAGTCGGGGAGCGGCGTGCATTGAAATCAAAGTTTGGAAGGAAAGGAGAACAGAGCTCAGTAGCCGTTGCGTTAACGCCTTTGCAGGCCTGTGGCCATGTCTTAGGCTTCTGGGCTGCTCAAGCGTGTGGCCAGAGAGCAACAGGACTTTGCCATACTGTGCACATCACCCTCTATAGGCACAGAAAGAAACTGCCTACCAGGCTCAGAATTCTCAATAGCTACTGCCCAGCGTTTCTGAATAACCTCAGAGTCCCCACTCCATGTGTGTGCATCCACCGGGGCAATTATATACAAAGAAGGCTGCAGCTATAAGGGTGATCAACTGGTCCCAGGATTTGGTTGGATAGCACATGAATCAGCAGCTTTGCTGAAGCTAAGTAGACCTAAGTCTGGCTAGTGTCTGGGTGATGCACCTTCTGGAAACCCTGTATGCATGATGGAAGAAAGGTGGGATATGAATGTAATCAGGGCTATTTTTGGGCAGGAACGCACAGGAACGGAGTTCCGGCTGGCTCCCAAGTTGGCCACGCCCAGCAGGAACTCATTAGCATAATAGGCCACACCCAACAGCAGAAACGCATTACGATTGGCTACATTAGGGATGTGTGGCCTAACATGCAAAGGAGTTCCTGCTACAAAAAAACCCTGGGTTTTGACAACAAACAAGGTCAACAGAATAAGCAGCAAAAGGTGGGTGTGGCTGGTTGAGCACACTTCTGGTAACATGGGGGGGCGGCCTAATGTGCTAATGAGCTGTGCTGTCATGGGTGTGGCCTAATAGGCTAATGAGTTTCTGCTGTTGGGTGTGGCCTATTATGCTAACGAGTTCCTGCTGGGCTTTTTCTACAAAAAGAGCCCTGAATGTAATACATAACTTGTATGAATTAGGCAGATTTACATATATAGTTGTGCCAAATGGAACATTCCCCCCCTTCCATTAATGAAAAAGGCACACCACACGTAGAGCATTGAAGACTGGTCCCCGTGGAAATCCTGTTCAGGTCGAAACCCAATTAGTAATTATCATACGGCACTGTGTGTCATATAACCAGGAGATCCTAAGATTGTCTGGCAGCCAGAAGTTCTAGCTCTTTTAGGTGGCACTACTAGGTGGCAAGCTAGGCTTGTTTTTTAAGGCAAGAGACCTTTCAGAGGTGGTTTGCTACTGACTGCCTCTGCGTCCCGACCCTTGTATTCCTTGGAGGTCGCCCATCCAAATATTAGCCAAGGCCAACCCTGCTTAGCTTCCAAAATTTTATGAGATTTATGAGGGCTAGCCTGGTCTATTCCAGCTATGAACCCAGAAATGCTCTGTTACACGCAGACTGTTCTAGCCTTATAGCACACCCCAAAGAGCCGCTGCGTCCATTTCACAGGCCTGCATACAGGGGCCTTGAGCCAGAAACTAGCAGAAGTTGTGTGTTCCTTGGGTTCCATGCGGCTTCCTTTGCCAGAAAGAAAAAGACAGAGTGATTTCTGTCTCCTCTGGCTATAATTCTTCCAGTTCAGGAAGATATTAGAGCCAGAGCAAGTGTTAGAAGCAAGAAGCAAATCTGCTTTATTTCCCTCGACTGTAGTTCTGTACTTTGTGTTTTAATAAGCATAAACATAACTTGTTAAGCAAACCTGATGGAGGGATTCTAACACACACACACACACACCCCCTACCTTGCTGCACGTTACGTGAACATCTCAGACCTTTCTGGTAAAGTTACTGAGTGAATGGATGTTCAGTGTTTAGGGGAGGTGGATGGTTACAGAGCTGGCGGAGTGGTGACTGGATACTCCCGGATGAATCTCCCCTACAAGATTCATAAGAGACCTGGCACTGGTGGAAAGTTCCCACAGGGGTTTCAAGGCAACAGACGTTCAGAGTCGGTTTGCCATCGTTGCCTGCCTCTGCATAGCAGCCTTGGAATTTCTCGGTGGTCTCCCATCCAAGTCATAACCCGGGCCGATCTGGCCTAGCTTCTGAGGTATCGCAAGACCAGAGAGGGCCATCCCGGGCGGGGCCTGAGAGGCCTGCCACTCTTTGAAACCCACAGGAGGCGGCAGCTACATATTTTGTGACCGCTTTGTGTTGGGTTTAGTTCCAGGCCGCAAAGACAGAGGAGAAGAAGAGAAGAGATTGGATTGATACCCCGCCCTTCACTACCCAAAGGAGTCTCAGAGCGGCTTACAACCTCCTTTCCCTTCCCCTCCCCACAACAGGCACCCTGTGAGGCTAGGTGGGGCTGAGAGAGCTCTGACAGAATCTGCTTTTTTTCAAGAACAGCTCTTATCAAAACTACAGCTTGCCCAAGGTCACCCAGCCAGGTGCACGTGGGGGAGTGGGGGATCAAACCCGGTTCTCCCAGATTAGAGTCCGCGCACTTAACCACTACACCAAACTGGGAGCAACTAGGCACCTATCACATTCGGTTTTTCAAGCAGGTGCTGGCGTCACGGCTCTCCCGAGACCCCCGGCTACAGGACTGCCAGCTCCAGGTTGGGAATTTCCTGAAGATTTTGGGATGGAATCTGGGGAGGGTGGGCTTTGGGGAGGGGAGGTGCCTCAGCCAAATACAATGCTATTAAGCACCCATTCTGTCCAGGGGGACAGATCTTCGTTCTCTGGAGATCTGCTGCAGTTCTGGGAGATCTCCAGGTCCCACCTGGAGGTTGACAACCCTACCCCAGGGCCATCCCATTTAGAAGAAGAAGAGATTGGATTTATACCCCGCCCTTCACTACCCAAAGGAGTCTCAGAGCGGCTTACACACTCCTTTTCCTTCCCCTCCCCACAACAGACACCCTGCGAGGTAGGTGGGGCTGAGAGAGCTCTCTCGAGAACTGCTGGTGAGAGAACAGATCTGAGAGAACTTGTGACTGACCCAGGGTCACACCAGCAACTGCATGCGGAGGTTCTCCCAGATTAGAGTCCGTGCTCCTAACCACTACACCAAACTGGCTCCTACTTAGGCACTTATTTGGGGAAAAGATCCACTAGACTTCTGATTCCTGAAGAAGCACGTT